GGAAGAAAGGGTAGCAAGAGGAACAGGTAGGAAACGGGAATCGTGTTTTTCCCCCCTTCTCGATCGAGTTTAGGTACGCGATCCCTACCTCGATTACTTTCGTGACAAGCGTGCAGCAGCTGATCGCAGGTCAGTAGTTGTTTGATCTTCACCAAGGTAGTAACACCTGTCGCGACCTGCTCTTCCCATAGATGTCACAGAGTTGTAAGTTCGAGACCCTCCGCGCGTTTCACGTCGACGATATACAGCCACCCGATCGGATATCCGGTGCTCCACGTTCCCGCCACGGTTTCAAATACCGGTGAATATCTACAGGATGCAGAAGGTATGATTTTCAATGAAAATTCCGATCGTTCTCACTTTCCATGTAACACTGCAGTTTTAGATTTCACACCTTCTATATTTAACATTGCAATTTTATATTTCACACCTTCCGTATTAACTTTGCAAATTTACGTTTCACACCTTCCATATTTACTTTGCAATTTTATTTTTCACACTCTGTATATTAACATTGCAATTTTATCTTTGACACCTTCTATATTAACTTTGCAATTTTACGTTTCACACCTTCCATATTAACTTTGCAATTTTATTTTTCACACTCTGTATATTAACTTTGCAACTTTATATCTCACACTCTGTATATTAACATTGAAATTTTATATTTCACACCTTCTATATTAACTTTGCAATTTTACGTTTCACACCTTCTATATTAACTTTGCAATTTTACGTTTCACACCTTCTATATTAACTTTGCAATTTTACGTTTCACACCTTCCATATTAACTTTGCAATTTTATTTTTCACACGCTGTATATTAACGTTGCAATTTTATATCTCACACTCTGTATATTAACATTGAAATTTTATATTTCACACCTTCTATATTAACTTTGCAATTTTACATTTCACACCTTCTATATTAACTTTGCAATTTTACGTTTCACACCTTCCATATTTACTTTGCAATTTAATTTTTCACACTCTGTATATTAACATTGCAATTTTGTATTTGACACTCTGTATATTAACATTGCAATTTTATACTTGGCACTCTGTATATTAAGATTGCAATTTCATATTTCACACCTTTCGTATTAACATTGCAGTTTCATATTTCACACCTTGTACATTAACATTGCAATTTTTAATTTCACACGCCCTATATTAAGATTACGATGCGCACCTCTTATGTCAGTTATCATGCAAACATGGAAACTCAGTTTGGAACCAAATATTGCAATTTCATATTTGACACCCTGTATATTATCATTACAGCGTGTCTCTGATATCTCAGTTATCGTACAAAAGTGGAAAATTTAAAAAAATTAAATCATTCTTTTACTCGTATTTTCTGTAGATCAAACACAGCTTCGATCCTCTAATTAATGAGAATTTTAATTAGAAATATGTGTAAGAAAATGGTAATAAGTGTTTAGTATACGTTTGTAAAGTGACGTACAATTTATTTAGATTGTAAAATTGGATAATAAATCATCCAGAAGTTGGTAGAATTGAAACAATAAATTCATATGTTACTTTCTAATCTGGAACGTTATTTGAATGGAAATAGATGGAATATTAATGAATCCTCAAGGTGTTCGTGCTTTATTTCAACAGTTCAGTCACGTTTAGTAAGCATAACTTTTTCAAACTCTTTCCAACCGATCAATTTCTCGAATGTCTAGTTGTACGGGCAACATTTTCAACAACCGCGTGTTGTTGCAGTGAAAACAATAGAAACGATGGATCATGCGAACGTGTTTCGTAAGACGACGCGATAGAACATCGTTGACATTTCTAGATCTTGCACTGTTCGTTCTCACATTCCCTACTCGCAGCTTCGAAAACTATCAAAAAACACAAACTACCTTAAATGAAGAAAATAATTGTTCACCAAATACGAATGCAACAAGTGATTATTATCTGAAAGAAATTTTTATTAATACAGTAACGAAATTTTAAAATTAGTGTAGTATTGAAATCTTAAAGTTAGCATAGTAACGAAATTTTGAAATTAATACAGCAACGAAATTTGAAAATTAATACAGTAATGAAATTTTAGAATTAATACAGTAATGAAATTTTGAAATTAATATAGTAATGAAATTTCAAAGTTAATACAGTAACGAAATTTGAAAATTAGTGTAGTATTGAAATCTTAAAGTTAGCATAGTAACGAAATTTTGAAATTAATACAGTAACGAAATTTGAAAATTAATACAGTAATGAAATTTTAGAATTAATACAGTAATGAAATTTTGAAACGAATATAGTAATGAAATTTTGAAATTAATATAGTAATGAAATTTCAAAGTTAATACAGTAACGAAATTTTAAAATTAGTGTAGTATTGAAATTTTAAAGTTAGTATAGTAAAGAAATTTTAAAGTTAATACAGTAACGAAATTCTCATTCATACAGAAATTAAAGATTAACACAAAAAAAAAAATTGCTCCTTTGAAAATTCCACAATTCAATGTTCGAAAAAACACACCTACACGTTCAACACGAAAAACACTGCACTCGATATCTCGAATAATAAAAAAACACATAGCAGAATTTATGGTGCACAATTTGATCCATTAACGAATCCTCCATTTCTTCGCTCTGATCTCGCAAGAAGTTAAACACTTTGCTCTTTACTTTTTTCATCACCGATTAATTCCTTCGCTCAAGATGATCCTCGATCTTTTTATTTCACCGCGACAGATACTTTATCGGACCTTATCGAATTTCACAAAGAGCTGATAATCGTCTCGATAACCAAAAAGTGTCATCCTTTCCAACGTACTCACGTATCTAGGCTGTACAGACCTTGCACAAAACCGTCTACAATAAGAATATTGCGCAACAGACGCGATGAATTTTTCATTTTTCCTGAATTTATCCAGGACGGCGAGAGAGAAAAAAGAAAAAAGGAACGACAAAGTGAGATTTGTGAAATTTCCGCACGATTACCAGCATTGATTTATCATTTCTAGAAATTCCGCGTAAGCGAGCAGTTTCCTGCCTCTCGCGCTTTAGAGGCAAACTGGTTGTAATGGATGACGTACGCGTTAAACAACCATAATGCCTTTAATTGTCAAGGTAAAACTGCTACTAGATATCGGGGACCATTATTCTTCTATTCTTCTGTTACAACGATCTACTATTAACGACATTGTTGATCGTTTAATTAAACACCAGATACCTATTCGTAGTTTATTTTCATTTTATTCGAAAGTTAAACATCTCGTTTAAAATGATGTGTCAAGTAGAAAATTAAGTTTGTTGTATTTTTGAAGTACAGTGAAAGTATCGTTTCGGTAGCAAATATTCGTTACAACAGCGGCTTACATAAAAGCGTATACACCTGTGTGCGCGTGAAAGTCCAACGATTTTTTATCAAAATTGTATAAGTATTATCACAGTGGCTGTCCATTAGGGAACCAGTTATTTCTTCTTTTCCTTTTTATTTTTCTCTCGTGGCAATGAAATTTCTGCTCAAAGGATCGAGAATGTTAATTCACTTTGATAAAAATAGAGTGGAATAAATCACGATCAATGTGTCTCGTCGAATCGAAATTTACCTTTAACATTAACGTCGTTGTGAAACATCGTGGAGTCTTCGTATTCGGTTTTACGTAAAAATCACGTCAAAGCGGCACTCGGGAATAACTAAGAAGGCAAAGACACGATCGCTCTTTACAGCGAAGTAACCTTGTCTTATGAGAAAGAGGAAGAGAGAAAAAAAGAAATGTTAAACGAGATCGTGAAAGTCTCTTTGTTAGTTTCCACCGTTCGACACGAAATTTCGTAATTTTCCTTGACGATTCGCGGCGAGATGCAGGCCTGATTAAAAAGCTTCTGTAAAAACGTCGTCCAATTAATTTGACGTTTCAAATGTTGCCCCGAGAGCGATTTATGATAATTATAAAGAGCGTCTACCGTGGAAAAGGCAGCTTGTTTGAATGGAGAAAAAATGAAAACGCGACATCCGGAAGTCGATAAAAGCTCCTCTAATCGTCCCAGGGGGTTCAGTAATACATGGTATCACGTTTGACATTATAAAACGATTGTAAAGCCGTTCGACCGGCTTCTTTTATGCAATAGAACATAATAATCATCCTGTACCAGACGCTGCAGATCCCTGTAAAATAAGAATGCACAGGGTGTCGCGTAGAAAACGTAGAGTAAAAATTTGAAATTAGATTTTCTTTTGAATCTGAAATGAAATTTTCTTTTTCAATCTCAAATGACATTTTTTCTTAAATTTGAAATGAAATTCTTTTGTAAATTTGAGACTGAATTCTTTTTTAAATTTCAAATGAAATTTCTTCTTTAAATTTCAAACGAAATTTTCGTTAAAATGATATTTTCTACTTTGAGGAAGTTGCAATTGTTGACCTTGTTAGATTTTCTACTCAATTATCGTTCGTTAGACTCCCATAGTTTCCATCGGTTAGGGTGTCTGAGGCAACGCTTCGAAATCAGATCGGCAAGATAGATTGCAACGCATTAGAATCGCGATTTTTTACCATAATTCGATAGCTTGTACAGTACCTTGTACGCAACCACGATCACCTTGATTGCAATCGTTGCTACATTAACTCGTTCTCCAACTGTTGCGTTCTCTCTGTTTTCACATGTGCCAAGGAACGTTTTGAAATACCGTCCGATGGCTCACGGATGAGCTAAAATGTTTGGAACGTTCTGTATCTCGCCGACGATTATGCGTGGAGAGCAACATTCGTCGGCATGCAGCAGCAACACAATTGTGTTTATCAGCGTAATGACGCGGTAATTCACTGTGAGTGTACTGCAATCGCGATTATGGAAATAATTGCACGATGATTTTTTTTTACCCATACGAATCCTCCTCCCGTCGCTTGTTCTTGAAGAAAATGCAAGTAAGAATTTTCTGAGCAGATGTATTTTCGTAACATTGAAAACTGTGAGAAAAGAAGGAAACGCGAAAACTTTTGGAAAATTGTGAGAAATGAAAAAAAACGTAAAAACTTTGGGAAACTGCGAGAAATGAATGCGAAAACTTCGGGAAACTGAGAACAGAGGAAAGTAAAATCTTTGGAAAACTGTGAGAAATGAAAGAAAAGTGAAAACTTTGGGAAACTGTGAGAAATGAAAAAGAAAGTGAAAGCTTTTGGAAAACTGTGGGAAATGAAAAAAGCAAAAACTTTGGAAAACTGTGAGAAATGAAAGAAAAGTGAAAACTGATAATCCGTGAGAAATAAATATGTTATTTATTTTTACACTGATTTAAAAAAATGTTAAAAGACAAACGTCGCATTTTGTTAATATCAAAAAATTGTCGTGACAAATATCGTATTTGTAGTAATTTTTCAAGGTAAATTACGTTTAATAGTTTAATCAGAAAAAGGTTGCTCGCACGTCATTAAGTGCATCGAAATTTCGCAATTTCCACGCAGGCTATATGCATCAGGAGCTGCGATTTACAATACTACACTTACGCGTGTAGTATTTCACAGTGTGGAAAGCGTCCTTGATAGCTAAACGAGAATGCCTATGCAGAGGTATTAGTTCTTTCGTGTCATGGTTCACTCGAGCTGCATAACGATGCCAGAATAGAGTATCCGCAAGTGGACATGCAACAAATCACAAATTATGCAATTTTTCTTACGAAACAGAGAATCGAATGCTCTAAAAGTCCACTCTTGTACAGATACCTACTCATCTAAACATTTAAACAACCACATTACACGCTTATATTATTACCAGCCAATTATCTCTTAGCAAGGAAGACAGAACGTTGCTTTCATCGGTGACGATGGCCACGCTACCGATGATTTTCAACATTCGAATGCAGACAGAAACGAGAAGGTAACTAAACCTCTAAACAATCCGTCGAGTCTGCCAAAAGAGAGAAAAGAAGACGAAGATTAAAAAATATATCGCTTTCAGTTTCAAGAAACCGATTCCTTCAGCTTCAATTATGGGATCCAGGATAACAGAAAATTGCCCCTCTCGTCGTCGCTTCCGGAGGAAATGGTGAGTGGATTCTAATTGCAGAAAGACTTACCTCGACAATCCACCATTACGATCCCTCTCTCACGATCCATATATACTTATTTTCTCCGAATTTTCATAGTCCGTCACAGAGAATGAAGCGGAGAGACAAACCTGGGGGAATGGATTAGAATTCTTGATGTCCTGCATCGCTATGTCCATTGGTCTTGGTAATGTTTGGAGATTTCCTTTCACAGCCTACGAAAACGGCGGCGGTGTCTTTCTCATACCTTACATCATCGTCCTGTTCCTCGTTGGTAAACCGTTCTACTACCTGGAAATGATTATGGGACAGTTCTGCAGCAGGTCGTCGGTGAAAATGTGGGCTGCAGGTGTGCAGATTTTCATTTGAAAATGAACCTTTCACTTGTATTTACGTATCGCGAATGAGAAAAGTTACGAGGATGCCGAACTTTAGAGCAGGAAGCTTGAATAATTGTGGACCGGTTTCACGAGTCAAAGTCGAACCTCGTGTCCCTGCCTTGGTACAGCAGGTTTGCACAGGGTTAAATTATGTCTCGTAAATCTTTGTTGTTCCGAGTGAAGTATGCGGATCCAGCGGTCACGTGGTCTTACTTATATATCAATCGCGATTGAACGGCATGAAACTTTGGTAGTTTAGTTGTTTAGAGCGTAGGAACCATTGTGGAAGTAGCAAAATTGCCAATTCTTATTGGTACTCTTAATAGAACACCAATAAGAAGAATATGGATTTTTGTGAGTATAATTGAAAAAATAGATTTTCCATAAATGTATTAAAATCCTACTAATAAATCAGAAGAGTTTAACTGAGTTTAACAATTTATTTATAGTGAAATGGAGGACAGTAAAGAAGTCTTTCTCAAGTGTCTGAAATGTGAAAGATTGAAGAAAAAAAAAAATTGTCATCTCGCAATCTGCGTTCAGAAACTTTTCTCACGTACTCTACTTAATTAGCAAATTTCGAATTTTCGGCGATCAACGCGAATTCGTGAATTTCAGAAACGTCGCTCAGGTAAATTTTCACGTTGCAAATTCACAGCACCCGGTTTCCGAGGCGTTGGTTGGGCGCAAATGTTCTCCATGCTCGCCGTGGGAACGTACTACTGCTCCCTGATGTCTGTAACCCTTTACTACCTAATCGCAAGCTTTCAAGCTCACCTTCCTTGGTCCAGTTGCCTCGAAGAATGGGGAGATTCTTGCGTGGACTCCGGAGGATCGTACAACATCGTCGAACGAAACGGTACCAACATGATTAGCTCTGCTGAACTTTACTTTAGGTAAATCTTTTCCCCATCTGCTTCTCTTTCTCTCTCTCTAGAGCTATGTACAAACGAAAATACGACAAAAATCTTCAAATTTCACCAAAGTTCAAACAATGGAACGTCGAGTGTTACCATTGATCAGAGAAAAGAAAAGACAATTTTTTTTTTTTTACCAATAATCGAGATGTAAATTAGAAGAACGGAATGGTAAATAAGAAACGGTGTTTTCCTTTTCTATTAGGATAACAGTGTTGAAAGAAAAGCCAAGTATAGACGACGGTATAGGACTGCCAGATTGGAAGCTGACAATTTGTCTTCTGGTCGCGTGGTGTTGCATATTCGGCGTGTTGGCACGTGGAGTGAAGAGCTCGGGGAAAGCGGCCTATTTCCTCGCGATCTTTCCTTACATCATCATGATAAGCCTGCTGGTCAGAGCGGTCACCCTGGACGGTGCCGTAAACGGGATAATTTTCTTCATCAAGCCAAACTGGGAGAAGCTATTCGATGCGAACGTCTGGTACGCTGCAGTCACACAGTGTTTCTTTTCACTGTCGGTGTGCTTCGGTGGTGTCGTCATGTACTCATCCTACAACGACTTTAGGCACAATATATACAGGTTATTAGAGATAATTGATACCAACGCGAATTTCTGAATGGCAAAAATCGGGGAAAAATGAAAATACAGGTAGTAGAAGAAGGGAAATATTGAGAATTGAAATGTCATTAATACAAATTAATATTAATGTTAAAATAATAAGAAATTAACATTAACGTCGATATTGAAATATCAGGATTTCTCTTAAGGTTACTATTACCTTCTAAGAGACACAAAGATTGATACGTCTTTTTGTCGATCGCTAATTACGTGGTTTTATTACAACCTCTGGATCCAGTTCAGAGCGACGCAAGAAAAACACGGTGTAATCGTCTCTCATGCACTCACCAGTTTAATGGCCGGTTTCACCATTTTTGGCATCCTCGGGAATTTAGCTCACGAACTGGGCACCGAGGACATCAGCAATGTTGTACGAGGTGGAACCGGTCTTGCTTTCGTCTCTTATCCGGATGCAATTGCGAAGTTTACTGTTCTGCCCCAGGTATACAATCCACTCACATGTTTACTTAACATGAATAAAATTAACAAAAAAAAAAAAAAAAAGGAAAAGAAAACAGAACGACGAAGAAAATGTGTACACTTTACAAAGTTAAATTATTATTGCCACATTTGTCATTCGTAGCAATTAAGAAACAGGTGTAAAGGTATAAAGAATGAAGTATGGTAATCGTGTAATTAATTAACGCATCATTTATCATTAACGCAAGTGCCATTTCGAATGATTTACACGATATATCCTTTTCGTTCCAATAAATCTCCATCATTTTTCAGCTATTTTCCGTATTATTCTTCTTGATGCTCTACGTCCTTGGTATCGGAAGCGCTATCGCTCTAGCAGGCGCAATTATCACCATTATTAACGATCAATTCCCAAATTGGAAGCACTTGTATGTGGTACTTGGCACGGTTACCTTTGGATTTTGCGTCGGAGTTATTTATTGCACACCTGTAAGTGGTATTATCAATTTGTTTTCACGTATTATCCACGAGGAACGAATCTCGATCTATCGTTGCTATTTTTGGATACTTACAGGGTGGTCAGTTTATGCTGGAACTGGTAGATTACTATGCAGGCTCTTTCGTAGTATTCATATTGGCTACTTTGGAGATAACTGGCGTCTTTTGGGTGTACGGGTTGGAAAATTTCTTGGACGACGTGGAGTATATGTTGAAAAGAAGACCATCCGCTTATTGGAGGCTCTGTTGGGGTGTTTTCACCCCTCTTCTACTGGCTGTGATCTTAATTTATACTTTAGTCACTCTGAGACCCTTGACTTACAGTGGTATCTCTTATCCGGACAGCGCACACGGTTTGTATCACGGAATATTAATATTGAGAAAGACCCATTTGTATAGAAAATAATCAATAGAAATTATTTTCTATATTACATTCAATTATAGGAAATTTATTTAAACGGGAAATTAAGTTGAATTAAGTGTGCCAATAAACTCTGGTCGTTGATAAAGTTTTCATAACGTTGTTAATTAAAGACTTTACAACAACAGTTTTTTAATCACAGCTGCTGGATGGACCATTTGTGCCTTCGGTGTCCTGCAAGTCCCCTTCTGGATGACCTACACCATAATTTCTAAAAGAAACGTAGACCTGTCTGAGGTATCAGCGACTCTTCTCTCTAGATACTAAATTCACGGTTCGCGTTACCGTTGAAATGTGAAATTTTACAGAAGATCAAGTCAGCCTTCAGACCGTCTGCCGACTGGGGACCAAGAAATTCCAGGGAGCTGGCCTCCTGGCGCGAATTTAAAGAGACCAGGAGAAAAATCCGGGAGAAACGAGACTGCTCCAGGATGAAACAGTTCGTTTACGTATTACTCTCTTGGGAGGATAAACTCGTGTGACAAAATGGGATAGAAAATGTTCTACTTGTGCTTCGTGATTTCACGAAACTTCTCATGGTCGATCATGGTCAATCTTGGATGAATAGCTTTGATAGTGGGCATTAAACTGCTTGTTTTCTTTTTTTAACGAGACAGATGAAAACAGAAAAGAAAAACAACCTATGTACAGTTCAGAGTTGTTGATTTACGAAGGATCTTTTTCTTATAACTCAGCTTGCCGTCCCACGAATAATTTGTACCTGTGTAGGTGTTAATCAATCTCTAACGCATTTTTTCTTTTTTTTTTTTTTTCACCGTAGTTACGTTTAATCTCTACGAAATTGTTGTACAGATCTCTAGACTGAAAGCGTTGACACTGAAAAGTACGGACATCCTTCGCGACGTTCAAGAGAAATAAATATTTTATAAAACAAACGGAGAAAATTTTTAGTTTTAATGAGAGAGATGACACTGGATGTCCGTAGTTTTCATAGAAAGAAAAAAAAAACTGGTCTCTCCTTCTAGTGTCATAAGATACTGTATTAGGTACAGAAGAAAAAGGAACAAAACCGAAAGATCAAAACTGCAGAATTTCGTTTTCTGTGATTTTACATCTCTTGTAACTGCCGTAGAAAGTATTTAAGCGAACACAGTTCTTATTTATTAACATCGTAACACACGACGAATTAATTTAGCAACGTCCTCCTGTTTAATACGTTTCACTTTTAGTTTACACTTCCGTAGTAACGAAATTGCTGTATCTTTAAAAAAATTCCTCCGTTAAGATTTTTTTCATAATTATTCGTCGTTCTGGAAGCTCCAATCGTCGACGAATTCCTCCTCCTCCTCCTCTTCTTCCTCCCGTTGAATCGGCATCACCTCTTCCTCGTCCTTTTTTTAAATTTAGAATAGTATAAACATGTTGTTAATAATTGTTGCACCGATTTTAAAAATGAAATGTAGATCGTACGATTTTTATAAAAATACAAAAGATTGCACACTGCACTCACTAGTGATTTCGATCTTTCCCTCTCGAGCATCAGCTCTAATTCGAACTCCTTCCTTCGTCTCTCCCTCTCTTCACAGATCTGCAATTCGAAGAAATCGAACTTTACACGGTTCTAAATTGAAATTTCTATGGAGACAGGTGAAAATTATATTTAACTTTATAATTTAACAGCCAATGACCGAGATATTCGACAGGATCGAAGGGTTTTTTCGCGACGATTTCGCGGAGAGCTTGGGACAGAGGTTTGCTTAACAATTTCTTCAAATAAAGACCGTCTGGTGATAAGTATTCATTTGAGGAAGAAGGTAAAGACGTGAAAGAGTCGATTTCCTTTCGATCTTCCATTTCAAGCTCCCACAATCTTTGTAACTCGTCTGTCTCCTCGGTTGCGAAACCCATTGCAGTTAAAAGTCTGTATATTTGTGGATGTGATGTCAAATTTTGCGTATAATAGTGATGAAAAAATGTAAAAATAATATTTTTTTAAAAAGAGGTAAGTAAATTATTAAATGGTTTACCTACGAAATTCCTGTGTGTAACCAACTTTTAGGAAGGTTACAATAAAGCTCTTGCTTAACGATCTTTCGCGTAAGAAAGTCTCGATTTCTTTTCTAGGACCTGAAGCCTCCTCTGTTTCATCGTGGTCAAGTTTCTTTGTCTCTTCCTTAGGTTTCACAGGTTCTCCGTGTTTCTTGGAAACAAGCTGCTCAGTATCCTGTTCGAATTTAATTAGAGCTTCTTCTATCTCCTCTTTAGTGATTGATAAATTTTTCAATATCTCGTTTCCTCGTTCGCTAACTTCGTCGAACCTTTTTTCTCTCAATTTTTCGAAATCCGTCTGACTCAGGCCGTATTCCTTTAGAATTCTTTCCACCTAAGTGAAAATTACTTGAAAAATTGATGAAGAAATCTCGTAAAACGATATTACTTCGCTTAATTTCGCTACTTCTTTCTCTTCTCCCTCTTCCTTCAACTCCATGATCAATCTACCCTCGAGGTTATAATTTCTTCTTCGATCTGAACGAGAAGTTTTCATATTTTATCGCCAACTTGGTCACACTTCACTGATCATATTCTGTAATACGAATGAAATTCGAATAATCCCTTTTCTAGGTACACAAAATAAAATCCCTAAGATCGTTATCACAGTGATACAATTATGTGTAGAAGAAAAATGAGCGCACGTCTACGTAGATTGTGAATGCTTTTTATACTAACCATCTCCCTTATCGTGGATGTAGTAAATCGTTATCAAATTTCGTTGATCGCACTGGCATTCAGCACATTGTAACAATTATCAATTGTCGTTTATTGCCACCAGAATGTGTCATTGTTAATTGCACGGCTTCGTCCATGCTGAGTGGAATTTTTACCCTAACCAATCCATTGGATTCGACGATTTGAAAAATTTTATACTCCTTAAGGCTGACGTACACCGAACTAATTACTAATATACAAAGTTACTATCAAAATAAAAAAAAAAGGAGCTGTCTTCCTCTCTAACAGTTTTTCAAATTTCATTCAGTTTCGATTAGCTTAATTCATCTTCTTCGATAATAAAAATCTCAATTAAGCTTAAGCTCTAAGCTCGAATATTTGATGCTCCTTAACACTGACATTCACTGAACTAATTATTGATACACAAAATTACTATAAAAATAAAAAAAATAGCTGTCTTCTTTTCTCAGAGTTTCTCAAATTTCATTCAGTATCAATTACCTTAACTCACCTTCTTGGATAATAAAAACCTCAATTAAGCTTAAGCTGTAAGCTCGACGAAGCTCCGTCCCCTCGTAGAAAGAACGATACATCGATTATCAAAGGCTCGAGAAGTGAAATGGATATTAATCGAACAAAGAATCAGCCCAGAGATAACGTCGTCGAAATTTCGTCTGCTCAGATCTCTCTCTCTCTCTCTCTCTCTTTATCGACAGATATCACCGAATATTTACAACGATCGTACCAAATTTACTCAGGTGCCCTCGATCAATTCGACAAATCCTCGATAGACAACGACGTATCCCCCCTAGGTGAGTCGTTATCAAACGGAAGTGCAGCATAATCTAAATGTTGGGATCACGATCGCTTTATCGTCAAGGTTTTTTCGAGTGTTCGTTCTGTCGGTATACATGTACCACGTATCGGTATACATTTCCCGATATAAGAGCAGATACACGATGTCGATCGCGCGAAATCGCGAGCAACAAATCAGTTCGAAGATTCCTCGAGACAGTATTGTTCTTTCTTCTCCTCTTCGTTTACCATTAACGCCGTATCGTTCGTCTTCGTCGGATCGATTTAACCGCGCTCGCGTGTGTGTCTTTCTGTGACAAACCGGAGAAGAAATGGTGAGTGAACCGATCGTGATTCTTTCCCAAACTGTGACAAACTTCGGAAAAAATTCATCTTCACGACGAAATATCAAATTCCCCCGTATTTTCATCCAGTTCTAACAAAATAATAGAAAACGTGCACGTACTCGCCGCGACACAGTGTCACTTTAAAACACTCGACTTTACTCCTCGTGATTACACGTACGTGTAATTAGCCAATAAAAAGACGACAGAATCGCGCGTTTCGAATCCTACGCGCAGTAGGTACAGTTTCGATAACGCAACCGGAAAAAACTTTTCCTCGTTAGGAGATCATTTGATCAAACAATTCTACACTTCCTTCTACTTTATCTCTTCGAAAGATGTTTTACTCCAGTTCTCTCGCGTTTCCCGCCCTTCTCTTTCCTTCCAAATAACCTCGACACGCTCTCTGACGACACTGTTGCGTCGACGAACGAACCAATTCCGGAAAAAAAAAAAAAAAAAAAAAAACTGAAAACGTCCAGGTAAAAACGTAAGAAGATTCGCGTAGCAATCTAGAGAGTAGTAGGAAGCGATAAACGGGGCTTCGACTGTATTTTTGCCGTGAAAAGACCCGCGATAGCGAGATTTTGCTCACGTGATAAGAGGGGCGGGCTACGAGACCGGTGTAAAGAGCTTAAAACTAATTCCGTTCGCTATCTCGGTGTTAGAAGACTCCGCGGGAAAGGCCGCAGGTTTGATGCAACTCTCGATAATTTATGGGACTTGGCAGGATAATGAAGTGAAGCATGGTCATCGAAATCGAGCGTTCGTCATGGAGGGAACGGACAAGGAGAAATCCTTGGAGGAACGGACAGAGACCCAATCACGACATTCCGATGTAACGGAGGAAACGGTGGTGAGAAGCACGTGGAACAATGGAATTGAATTTCTAATGTCATGCATCGCTATGTCGATTGGATTCGGCAACATCTGGAGGTTTCCGTTCACCGCGTACGAAAACGGCGGTGGTGTTTTCCTCATACCGTACATCATCGTACTTTTTCTCGTTGGAAAGCCGTTTTACTACTTGGAGATGATCATGGGACAATTTTCCTCGTCGTCGTCGATCAGAGTTTGGAACATGTCGCCTGCGTTCATCGGTAACTATGCCGGGTGTTTTAAGAGAAATTTGGAGGAGGGGAATTTTGTGACGGTGAGGAGTTTGGTGTAACGTGGATTTTGAGATATTCTAGGTTCTAGTTTTGATATTCGAGGGATAATAGTTGTATAGAGTTTTTGCTTAGTTTTAATATTAGAAAAATGGGAAGAAATGGGAAAATCGGGAAAATAGACAAACAGGAACGAGACAAATTTTGTAACGATGAGCCGGTATAACGTGAATTTTTAGAATATTTATGTTATTTTAGCTTTGATATTAGAAGGATAATGGTTATATAGAGTTTTCACTTAGTTTTAATATGTAATATTAAGGGGATCATTTTAGCAATCGGTAGAAACTATGGAAAACGTTCCGTCTCTTGATTTCTCGAAACACATCATCGACTTACTAACTTCGAGTTCCTAACTTGTCAAAGAATTACAGGTGAATGATATTTGCGTTCTACTGGATCCACAATGCATTTGCTGGGATTAGACGATATCGCGACGAGAACATTGCGAAATGTGACAATACAAACGAAGCATCTATACGCTGATATTCACCTGAAATTTTCGTCCCATGATTACAGTCGCGTTGAAATATTTAATTACAAAAAAATATGCTTCGCATCGAGTTAAAGAAATGTTTCTTTCGTTTAACACGTTGAAAAAGTGAAAATGGTGCGTACTCCAGTCATAATTAAATTTGATCGTTTCAGGTGTCGGCTGGGCCCAATTATGCTCAAACGTGGCACTGATGACATATTACAGTTCCCTGATGTCTCTGACACTGTTCTTTCTGATCGCGTCCTTCTCAGCCGAGTTACCTTGGGGGAAATGCAGGGAAGAATGGGCCGACTATTGCATGGATTCTAGCAGAAAGATAGAAAATCATACTAACACGAGTGATATCAGTACTTTCGCTAAACTGCTGGTGGACAAGGAAAAGAGAAGTTCGGCGGAACTTTACTTTCTGTAAGAAACTTTCACGTCACGTTAAAACAAATCTAAGTTAACATAATTTTGACGAAACTTTGGCATATATACGTTGTTGCGTCGTCATGCACGTGAGGAAACCCCGGCCTGGCGGATTATCGTCGTAAAATTCGTTAGTCAAATTCGACCGCCAGACCGGGGTACCAAACTCACATCGGCCCGCAATAAACCTCCTCGAGCGAACGCATCGAAGAAACAAAAATCTCGCGAACCTCTCCTCTCCATAACCGATGCTCTTTTCCGTCAGGGCGACGACTCCACGGGTCATTCTCTGACCAGCGCTTGGAGTCTTGCTCTCGCAGTGACACCCCAACCCAGGCAAACACAGTACAACAGAAAATTCGAATTACTCGCATCAACATTTGTAAATTCAGTCGTGACAAAATAAAATTCTCTAAATCTTAATTAGAACCGCCAAAAGAGATCAATTTCTCAATTGGACAGCAAACCTGTACCGTCACCTAGGGTGTAAGCGGGATTTACAAAAAAGTATTCGATACGTATTTTTTTTAATCAGCAATAGTTCACAGTGAAAGTGTGAAAATCGCTCTCAAAGTGGATAATAGCAAACATATTTGCTCAAATATGTTGGATGTGGGACAGTGGATTGTTAATAAACTAATGTCTTTCTTAACCTTTAAATAAACTTCTTTCTGGAGAAAACGTTCGAACTCTGCGAGTCACACGACAAGAATGTGAAAAGGAAGTCAGGTCAGAAAAATATCTGCTCTGAGTTTTTCTAAACAAAAGATCCTTTTTCCTACTCAGAACTGCAGGCTAGGATATCCCTTCTCTACGTGTTCATTCATTTTTCACCGTAGCACTTCAAACGTGCACTCGAGGACGAAATATCGAACGAAATATTTCAAAAATGATTAAGAATAGAGAAATTATGAAAATTGACGAATTCCAAATTTTCTAAAAATTCTTACAATTCCAGCAAAGTGGTTCTTCAAGAGAAAGACAGCATCGACGACGGAATCGGGCTACCAGATTGGAAATTAACCCTTTGTCTACTCGTCAGCTGGGTCTCCGTTATCATGATCACCTTCCAAGGTGTAAAAAGTTCAGGAAAAGCTTCGTACTTTCTTGCAATCTTTCCGTACATCATATTGGTCAGTCTTCTGGTCAGAGCTGTCACGTTAGAAGGTGCAGGAGATGGAATTCTATTCTTCGTCACTCCGAGATGGTCGAAACTCTTAGAGCCAACTGTTTGGTACGCGGCTGTGACGCAATGTTTCTTTTCACTTTCCGTCTGTTTCGGAGTCATCGTCACTTACTCCTCGCATAACGACTTCAAGCATAATATATACAGGTAATCGTACGATAAAAATCAATTAGCAATTTGAACTTTACTTCGGTGTATTACACCGAAGAATATACACGTGTTGTGTAATACTGTAAAATTCTGTCAAGATTTTCAGGTTGAATTTGAAAAATCTTTCTGACACTTTGAATTATTTCAAGAATTTTCCTCGTAAGTCTTGGTTGTGTAACACCGCAGAACACGATCCTGAAGGTCCGCGTGTTTCAGGGATGCGCTTATCGTCACCAGTCTCGACACTCTCACGAGTTTCATAGCAGGATGCACGATTTTTGGGATTTTGGGCAATCTGGCCCACGAGATGGGTATAAAGGACATCGACAAAGTGGTGAAATCTGGAGCTGGCCTGGCTTTCGTCTCTTATCCCGACGCCATAGCGAAATTTACCTTTCTACCGCAGGTAAATGAAACGAACACGGTGAAATTAGTACGAAATTTTACTAAACTTCGGTAGATTTTCTTAAAAAAAAAATTCTTTTTCAACTTTCAAAAATTTCGATAGATAAAAATTTTTCGACTCGGGGATATTCCCGCCTTTGCAGTTATTCGCAGTGCTGTTTTTCGTGATGATGTTCGTCCTAGGAGTGGGCAGTACCGTAGGAATGGTCTCGGGGATAGTAAGTTCTCTCAAAGAGAAGCTTCCAAACGTGCAAATTTGGAAGATTGTGATCACAGTGTGTTTAATGGGATTCGCCGTCAGTACAGTCTACGTCACTCCGGTGTGTAACACAAGAAACATCGATGCATCTCTTTGAATAAGTAACAAAAAACGAGAAATGAGTAAATTCGTCGTTGCGACATTTTCAAAGTAACATTCACACGTTTCATTGTTTCATCATATTTCCAAGATATCCATTATCAACGTACGAAAGAACAACAACTTCGCGATATCGATGTTAATCCTTACGTTAATTTCGTCTGGTTAATACTTGTTACTTATATATCAGTCCAAAACGAGAAATGATTAACGATATAGAATCGGGGATTTTCCTTTTTAACCAGACAGATGAATCACGTTTCAGTCTCGAATGTTTTCGTTAATTAATCACGATTATTAATTGAAGAACTTGTACACAGGGTGGGCAATTTTTGTTGACTCTGGTCGATTATTATGGTACGTCGTTTGTCGTGTTCATCTTGGCCTCCTTCGAGATCACTGCTATAACTTGGCTATACGGTTCGTATATCTCTTCCTCGAGAACGATAGCAATTAGAATTTAAAAAAAATATTACGTGTAAAAAATTGAATTTACCGCGAGTCCTTTGAAACAGGTATAGAAAACCTTCTGGAGGACATTAAACTTCTTTCTGGAGAAAACGTTCGAACTCTGCGAGTCACACGACAAGAATGTGAAAAGGAAGTCAGGTCAGAAAAATATCTGCTCTGAGTTTTTCTAAACAAAAGATCCTTTTTCCTACTCAGAACTGCAGGCTAGGATATCCCTTCTCTACGTGTTCATTCATTTTTCACCGTAGCACTTCAAACGTGCACTCGAGGACGAAATATCGAACGAAATATTTCAAAAATGATTAAGAATAGAGAAATTATGAAAATTGACGAATTCCAAATTTTCTAAAAATTCTTACAATTCCAGCAAAGTGGTTCTTCAAGAGAAAGACAGCATCGACGACGGAATCGGGCTACCAGATTGGAAATTAACCCTTTGTCTACTCGTCAGCTGGGTCTCCGTTATCATGATCACCTTCCAAGGTGTAAAAAGTTCAGGAAAAGCTTCGTACTTTCTTGCAATCTTTCCGTACATCATATTGGTCAGTCTTCTGGTCAGAGCTGTCACGTTAGAAGGTGCAGGAGATGGAATTCTATTCTTCGTCACTCCGAGATGGTCGAAACTCTTAGAGCCAACTGTTTGGTACGCGGCTGTGACGCAATGTTTCTTTTCACTTTCCGTCTGTTTCGGAGTCATCGTCACTTACTCCTCGCATAACGACTTCAAGCATAATATATACAGGTAATCGTACGATAAAAATCAATTAGCAATTTGAACTTTACTTCGGTGTATTACACCGAAGAATATACACGTGTTGTGTAATACTGTAAAATTCTGTCAAGATTTTCAGGTTGAATTTGAAAAATCTTTCTCACACTTTGAATTATTTCAAGAATTTTCCTCGTAAGTCTTGGTTGTGTAACACCGCAGAACACGATCCTGAAGGTCCGCGTGTTTCAGGGATGCGCTTATCGTCACCAGTCTCGACACTCTCACGAGTTTCATAGCAGGATGCACGATTTTTGGGATTTTGGGCAATCTGGCCCACGAGATGGGTATAAAGGACATCGACAAAGTGGTGAAATCTGGAGCTGGCCTGGCTTTCGTCTCTTATCCCGACGCCATAGCGAAATTTACCTTTCTACCGCAGGTAAATGAAACGAACACGGTGAAATTAGTACGAAATTTTACTAAACTTCGGTAGATTTTCTTAAAAAAAAAATTCTTTTTCAACTTTCAAAAATTTCGATAGATAAAAATTTTTCGACTCGGGGATATTCCCGCCTTTGCAGTTATTCGCAGTGCTGTTTTTCGTGATGATGTTCGTCCTAGGAGTGGGCAGTACCGTAGGAATGGTCTCGGGGATAGTAAGTTCTCTCAAAGAGAAGCTTCCAAACGTGCAAATTTGGAAGATTGTGATCACAGTGTGTTTAATGGGATTCGCCGTCAGTACAGTCTACGTCACTCCGGTGTGTAACACAAGAAACATCGATGCATCTCTTTGAATAAGTAACAAAAAACGAGAAATGAGTAAATTCGTCGTTGCGACATTTTCAAAGTAACATTCACACGTTTCATTGTTTCATCATATTTCCAAGATATCCATTATCAACGTACGAAAGAACAACAACTTCGCGATATCGATGTTAATCCTTACGTTAATTTCGTCTGGTTAATACTTGTTACTTATATATCAGTCCAAAACGAGAAATGATTAACGATATAGAATCGGGGATTTTCCTTTTTAACCAGACAGATGAATCACGTTTCAGTCTCGAATGTTTTCGTTAATTAATCACGATTATTAATTGAAGAACTTGTACACAGGGTGGGCAATTTTTGTTGACTCTGGTCGATTATTATGGTACGTCGTTTGTCGTGTTCATCTTGGCCTCCTTCGAGATCACTGCTATAACTTGGCTATACGGTTCGTATATCTCTTCCTCGAGAACGATAGCAATTAGAATTTAAAAAAAATATTACGTGTAAAAAATTGAATTTACCGCGAGTCCTTTGAAACAGGTATAGAAAACCTTCTGGAGGACATAGAATTCATGTTAATGAGAAAACCTAGTAGCTACTGGAGGATCTGTTGGTTCCTCGTGACGCCGTTAATTTTGATAGCAATTTTCATTTACACGGTGGCTACTTTGTCACCTTTAACCTACGGTGAAAGAGGATATCCAGTTTCAGCTCATGCTGCTGGAGCTAGCATACTCTGCTTCAGCATTTTTCAAATACCATTCTGGATGATCGTGGAAATGCTGAAGAACAGGAATCTACCTCTGTCACAAGTACCATAATCGATCTATTTACACAGTGTCCTATCACTTTTCACATCGAATAATACTTTACTTCGTATTTTCGCAGAACTTCAAGAAGTCTTTTCTGCCGACATCGGAATGGGGACCCAGAGAAAGCAAGTACAAAAAAGCCTGGCTATGTTTCAAAGAAGAGAAAGCAAAGCAAAGGAGCACGATAACTGGTCCAAGATGGCTACGATTACTGTACATTTTAATTGGTAGAAATATGAAAGAAGATGGACATTAGAGACTGATATAGAATCTTCCGATAAAGAGATATCTTCGATGCTTTTTCGAACAACAGTGAAACCGAAGATATTTCTCTGAACGGAATCGAGATAGAGAAGCAAAGTATGATTTCCAGCGCACACACTCAATTCTACTTCAATTCTTCGATCACAGAATTCACCGAAGCCAGATAGCGATCTAATATATATTTCGAACTTAACACGCGACGTACGATCTTCGAAAAATCGATCGAACGGTGATCGAGCCTAGCGATAAAGAGCGAGTATTCTCTCAACTTAAACAAATCAAGTTTCTAAATTGATTTCTTTCAATCACCGTTAATTCCCTTTCAATCCTCTCCGATCAATATCGTCATGATCCTCGATCTTTTCTTACTCAGATTCATCCTCGCCATTCTCTTCGAGTCCTTGAAGTCTCTCCATTCTTTGTATTTCACCGGATCCTTTGGTCCCCAATCGGAACGCGGTTGAAGCGTCTGTAACGTGCGAAAGAAGAGAAAAACAAACGTGGAAATAAACGTGTAGAAAATTGTTGTGTTTCATTCTTCCTGTTCATCGCTTACCTCCAAGCAAGATTTGCCTTTGTTCTGTTGGAGTCTGCCTACGATCATCCAAACAGGAAGTTGAATAACTCCCAATACCAAGAGTAACCATCCAGCAACTGAAATTAAGATATTAAAATTCTCATCGTGAAGTACGTTAGACGATAATTATCGTGTGCCTGCTATGAACAAAGATTTTCGAGATTTCGATAAGAGCAAACACAGGCGATAACGTTTCTTTGTTTCGTAAAATGGACGAAGCTTATCTATCGTACCGTAAGCGGAAGTTGGATAATATTCGCCGTTGTACGTGATGGGCGTCAGATCTGACAGAAAATAAATCAGAATCGAGAAGAGAGATAACGGAGTCAAGAAACACCAGCAGAGTCTCCAGTAGAGTGAAGGTCTTGCGCCGAGCATGAATTCGGTGTCGTCTAGAAAATTATCTATGCCTGTTGAAAGAAGTATATTAATTATTTAGAAAGCTGTATACTCGAGAAAATCGTGCGATCGAGAAAAATGACGATTTACCGTATACCCAGGCAATTGCAATCACTTCGAAGGAAGCCAGAAACACTATGATAAACGTTCCACCGAAATAGTCGACCAGATTCAAGATATACTGCCCTCCCTGAGAAATAAAACACAATTTGCTTAATTCAGAAAGTAAAACGAATCGAAATTTCTTTTAATTTCATTGCTAGTAAAAATTCTTTTTCTTAAAAAAAAAAATGCAATTTATTTTTCTACCTGTCGTTAATGGAGAAAGAAATAAAGACTCACTCTGGTACAGTAAACAATTCCAACTAAGAAACCAGCGCAAGAAACTGCAGCGGCGATCTTCCAGTTTCGAACTTCGGGAAATTTATCTTTGATAATACTGTGGATGACTGCGGTGAAGGCGACGGTGGTACCAATTCCAAGGATAAACAGCATGAGGAAGAAGAGTACGGAGAAGAGTTGTGGAACCACGGTGAATTTCGCCAGAGCTTCCGGATAAGAGATAAACGCGAGTCCTGTACCAGCGCGAACCACCGTGCTGATGTCACTTTTGCCTGATTCGTGGGCCAGATTGCCAAGAATTCCGAATATCGTCGTTCCTGCCAGCAGGCTCGTGCCTAAATCCAAGGTTGTCACCAGTGTGCAGTCTCTGGAAAATGACTTTTCTCAGAAAAAAGAACGTGGAGTGTTTGATATGAAGAAATGCAGAAAGTAGATTCTTTGTCGGTTAATTGCAACGAGAAAAGTGTTGAAAAGATTAACCAAGTTTCGTTCGATATATGAAATTTCTATGAAAATTAGAGAAATCCTGATTACCTGAGCACGTTATGGTCGAATCTGTTGTAAGACGAGTACATGATAACACCGCCGAAACAAACCCCAAGAGAGAAGAAAGATTGTGTCACGGCTGCGTACCATACCGAAGGATCGAAGATCTTCTCCCAGGTCGGTTTGAATAAGAATATTATACCGTCGACGGCTCCTTCGAGAGTGACTGCCCTCACCAACAGAGCAATCATGATCACGTATGGGAACAGAGCGAGAAAGTAAGCAGCTTTCCCGCTGCTTTTCACACCGTTTCTGACAACTATGAAAACGAACAACCAGCTGACGAAGAGAGAGAGGACTAGCTTCCACGATGGTTCACCTAGTCCTTCTTGAATTCCTACTTCGTTCAGGACCACTTTTCTGAATGGAAAAACAGATAACCCTTTGGTTAAAGCGACCGATATGACATAAGTACGGCTCGTAGTCGCGTTTGCATAGAATCTGTCGCGGCCAATGTGTTGAAACACCGATTTACCGGAAGTAGAAGTCAGCAGAGCTGCTTTTGGTGACGTTCGTCACTTCCTTGTGGCTCGAGCTGCTGTTGAAACAACCGTCGCCCCATTCTTCCCAGCAAAAAGCCCACGGAAGCACCGATTGAAAGCTGGCTAATAAATAATACATAGTCAGTGCCATCAGAGAGCAATAATACGTGACCACTAAGAAAACGGAGATTGTCAGCCCGTAACCAATTCCTGAAACAAAGAGAATTTGCAGATTTTTTTCAAGTTTCTCATTATTTCAACGTCAGATTTCGAACAGTATTCTGCTGATAAATGGAAGTTCAATTGCGATTACGGTACCTCTAAAGGCTGGAGAGACGGACCAAACTTCTATGCAGGATCTGCTACTAAATTGCCCTAATATCATCTCCATATAGTAAATTGGCTTTCCAATGATGAATAAAACGATGATGTACGGAACTAGGAATGCACCACCTCCGTTTTCGTAAGCGGTATAAGGAAACCTCCACACATTTCCAAGGCCAACCGAGAACGCCACACAGGACATCAAAAATTCCACCTTATTTCCCCATTGGACTCGTTCAGCTTCTCCTTCGGTCTTGGCAGCTGTTGTCTGTGAAATCAACCAAGTCCCCAATTCCAATGTAGGTGTGCAAATGAAAAATCTTTGATTTTTACTCGCAAAGGAACTTTGGTAACCCGAAAATTAGGGGAAAGTAGGGAACCTCGAGAGAAGTATCGGGCGATTTTCTTTTTTTTTTGGCTCTTTTTAGGTTCTTCCGCGTGAAAACAGCCCTTGAACGAAGATAGGTGTTACCCTATTACCCTGCATATCTTTAAAACTAAAGTAGATATAAGAAAATGTTTATAATAAAAATTGAACGGCTTTTGAGGTCCCCTACAAACCTGCAAAATTGAAAAAAGAATCGAAATTTTCGGGTTACCGATGGTCCCTTGTGAGTGTCTCCTCGGCGATACCATCGATAGAGACTGATTGTTAAAAGAAAATAATTTGAATGTCAATCTTTCGAAGTGCCATTTGTCCAGAAGATGCGAGAAGCTGCTCGAAAATGATTTAAAAAAATGATAAATTTGATCAAAAAGCAATAGATCATTTACTTCGTACACCCGATATTAATATTCGATATTATTTAATACCTTCAACGTTGATATTATTATTATTACCATTTTTTTCACTAAACCTACCCTATTTTCAGGCGGTTTCTCGTTGCCAGTTATCACAGACAGCCTGTACGAGCCTTCCACCCCGTCATTGTTCACAAAATTCATCTACGAACACAGACAATATATCCTGACTGTCTTTCTGTCGTTATTTAACGATTTACAAGTTGCAATTAAACTCGACAAACTTCTCGAGTTGTTTACGTAAGGACGTAGTGACATATCAACGAGCGCCGCCGCGCCGCATCTTTCTACCACCGAGATTTCGACGTCGTGAGAACCAGGTGTAATTAAAGTGTTTTTGCGGCGAGAGATTGTATTAAAACTGATAGGAACGAGGATTCGCGATGGAACGCTGTTTCATTTGGATCGCTCAAGGATTTCTTTCCTTACTCCTTCTTACTTTTCTTTCTTTCGTTTCAGCGTGAAATTTTCGCGTAACTGTCGGATTAGAAGATGCTACACGAACGGAATAGCGTGGAAACTTTGTCAGAAGGAAAGGAAAAATTAGCAAGTGAAATTGAAATCGTGATACGATAGAGATAAGCAGATACAGATGCATCGAATGTGGGCTAACGTTGTTATTAAGATAAACGAAATAAGACGTTAACTACGAGTTTACAGCTGCAATTTAGATTAGGATCTTAAAGGATTTTCGACTGTTGGAATAACAGATCATCCGTAATTTTCGACGATGAATATTCGTCGAGCTTGCACTTTCTACGTATTAATAAAGAATAACAGAAAATAAAAAAGAAACTACGAAATTTTCGTTCGCTGAGAGAAAAAAAAAATGCATAATCAACGATCGTTCCATTTAAGTGCAATGCAAATTTTCGCATATTCTTCCCGGATATTTATCACTGATAATCACCAAACACTACACAATTCCTCGAAAATTCGCACAATTACGATCTAACGAAAGAAACATACGAACCTTCGTGGAGCGCATAATCGCTGGGTGTAACGCGATTAACCTTCGAATTATTCTCCCCAGTGATCTGAACGCGATCTTCGCGAGACAAGAGCGTTTGGAAGACTGATCGACGACTTTGTTCACTCGCGTCAACCAAGTGCCGTGAGAAATCTTGAAAATTAGATCCGCTACCGTATTATCATTTTCCAAGTAACGATCTTCACATATCAAAATCTTCTTCCTCCTCCCCGTTACGTCACACCTTGATCCCGCGTATATCCTTTTCGTCGAAAAACTTCGATTCGTTCTTTTTCCGACTCGAAGGAAAAATCACGGAGCGTGAAACATACATCCGTTGCATAATTCCACTTTTTCTACCAATAGTATACGTATACCTACGTAACAAACTTTCCTTATACCACGGCTTTATGTTTGACGAATTCCTTACAACCATATGTCGGGAACACGTCACACACACTCGGCGAATTACACAACGAGACGTCCTTTTTCCTCTCGAGACAATAGAGAATTTTTCCTCTCGAGAATTTAACGACGATCCAGGAGGGTATCCAATAAAATTACACTTGCGTTGAAATGTCGCCTTTCCACAGGTGAATATTGTTTTGTAAATCGAGAGCACGTGAAACGATCAACGAAGAGAAATACGATACGTGTCCACATAGTGAACCCGTTCTGATTCATAATTTCAATAGGAGAGATATCTACCAGGGTGAAATAAGCAGTTGCGGATCGTGAAAAATGATACACTGGTCCAATTTTACTCGTTATGTTCGTCATTACCGCGACAGGAATGCGTTTGATCGGTTTCCTTGTACATTGCCTCTCGTTGTTTATGGTAATTACACGAACGCTTTCATGCATGACAAGTGTGGAAACTAATAATAGACTATATGTGAAACCGGAGGTCGTTCATTCCTTTGGAAAAGAATTATGCTCCTTTCTATGTCTCCGAGTGTAACCTTTTTTTTCGAGGGAGAGAGAGAGAGAGAGAAGGATGAAAGGATTCCATTGAATCGCACAGACGTTCATGTATGTTTCGTTGTTTTATTTTTATTTAAAAAAAGTGTCGACGAAACCGCCTCGATACCGGAAATTCTTCTCAGCCACGAATTCTTTCCATTTTAGACGAATCTTAGGATCGATCGGTCCCCACTTTTCCTCACATGGCTTGAACGCTCTTTTCACAGTCTGTGAACATTTCGAGACAGAGTGTTATTTAGTTCAGGTTCGATATTTTTCTGGTAAAATGTACTTACTTCGATCAACGAGGACGATCTCAGCTCGATGCATTTTTGCAGGATCCAGCCAACGATCAACAGCATTCCCAAGGAAAATATACACCACCCTACAGCTAAAAATATGTCGTTAATACTAACAGTATATCGACGTTTAATCCAAATTAATATTCTGTTAAATTAAAATGAATTTATCCAAGTGGATTTGTGGAATGATAAATTTTATTCATATTTAACGTCATAATTAGTGTATATTGCTAACCATAAGCGTATGTTGGAAATTGTAAACCATCGTACGTGGGTGATTCATAAGTGGCGATCGTGTAGATCAGTATGACGATCATTAGCGTAGGAGTAATTAAAGCCCAGCAGAATCTCCAATAGATCGATGGTCTTCTGCCTAGCATGAATTCTATATCGTTGAGGAAATTCGATAAGCCGTATACCCAAAATACGGATATCATTTCCAGGACGCCGACTATGATCGCCACGAACGTTCCGCCATAGTAATCGACCAGCGTTATGAACCACTGTCCACCCTTGAACAATTGACATTTTTCTAAATACTATTCCGAACTTTTGCAACAATTATCTCCATTTCACCGTAAGAAATTGTTCAACTCGGAGCAATTTTTTATGAGAGAATTTACATCTTCCAACAAGGAAGTAATACTTACTGGAGTGACGTAAACGAGGCTAAGAACGAGTCCGAATAAACAAAGCATCAGAGCTAACTTCCACTGTTTCACTTTCGGGAAATGATCGGAGAGGATGCAGCAAACGGCGCCGCAAAGACCCATCGCGCTTCCAACACCAAGCACGTACATCATGACGAAAAAGAGGACAGCGAAAAGTTGCGGCACGACACTGAATCGGGACAAAGCTTCCGGATAGGAGATGAACGCCAGGCCAGTACCGCCACGAACTACTTTCGATATGTCCGTGGTGCCGACTTCGTGAGCCAAATTGCCGAGAATACCGAAAATCGTGCAGCCTGCTATGAGACTGGTGAACGTGTCCAAAGTGGTCACTATCATCACGTCTCTGGAATAATGATCCAACGAATAATAATAATTGAAGAATTAAATCGTGAATTCCAGAGAGTCGAGACAGAATGGAAATTTATTCTCTATTTTCTGTATTTTCGAAGAATCTTTCTTTCCTTTATATATATTAATAAAGGTTTCGTGTGGAAAGTTCCTAAATTTTGGGCAGAACTTCGAAGGGAATTTACAAAATCACGTTAAAACAGTTGATTATAGAAAAATGTGGAAAATGTTGAATTATCGTCTCTTTAATATACTTTTCTGAGTATTTCTAATTTGAATCGAAATAGAGGCGAAATTTACTTTCAGAAATTATCGCGACACAGAACGTAGTTGGATATTAAATAATTGCACTAATTGCCCAAAGGAAATGTTCTCACCTGCCAATTTTGTGATGGAAATTATTGAAGGAAGAATAGGTGACAATTGGGCCGAAGCATACGGAGAGTGAGAAGAAGCATTGGGTGATGGCGGCGTACCATACGTTCGGTTGCCAGAGTTTGTCCCACTTTGGGGTAACGAGAAAGAGGATACCATCCATTGCACCCTCCAAAGTCACCGCCCTGACCAACAGAGCAATCATGATAACGTAGGGAAATATCGCGAGGAAGTATGCTGCTTTCCCTGTGCTTTTTATCCCGCGACACAGCACGACGAATATCGTTGCCCAGCTTACAAAGAGGCAGATACTGAGCTGCCAAGAGGGTGCTCCAATTCCATCCTCAATGGAGTCGTACTCGTTCAAGACGATCTTTCTGAAAAGCAATGGTACACGACGTTGAAGAATTAAAAGGAACCTCGAGATTCCGTCGAACGATTAACTAAATTATTTTAATTCTGTAATGTTTATGCAAACGAGGTGACGATATAGCAGTCTGCGATTGGTGGCTAGAATAAGGGATAGCGGAGGAAGGAAGAGCAGAAGAGCAAATGGGATAATAGCTTCAGAAGAATAAATAGGAAAGTTAAGAAAAAGGAGGCGGAAAAATTAGGGATGTAGTGTTAACCCTTTCAGACAGACAGTAGATGTTCAAAATCTTTTATTTTGGCTGTATCGTTTTAAAATTTATTTGAAATAAATTTGGGATTAAATTAGGCTAGAAGTGCACCACAACGCGCGAACTGTGCACCGTGAGTAAATGTTCAAAGCGCCTACAGGCGCCAACGGTAACGAAAGGGTTAATAAGAGAAGATCAGATGAAATAGAAGAGAATCTTTTTACGAGTGATGTGGTAATTTTCTCATACTTGAAGGTATACGAAAAGTTTTGTCCAAAAAAGTTTGCAAGAAGTGTCGCCGAAGAAACACAGAAACGAACCTGAAGTACAGTTCTGCAGAGCTGCGCAGAGAACCGTTATTGCTCGCAAATAAACTAGAACTCCTGTTCACGTCATCGTCCTTCGAATCTGCATCGACGCATTGACCCAGCCACTCTTCTCGACAGAAAGACCAAGGTAGAACAGCTTGAAAGCTGCCCACGAGATAGTAGAGCGTCAGACCCATTAGAGCACAGTAGTAAGAGACTACGGAGAACGCAGCGAACGCCTGACCATATCCCAAACCTGAAATTCACCGTAGAAATATCCAGTTAAATTTCAAAATTTTTCCAAGTATAATTTCAGCGATTCCATTCCTTCGATCAGCAGACACCTTTCATCGCTGGTACCAAGGCCCACATTTTTGCGCACGATCTGTTGGTGAACTGTCCGAGAAGTCCTTCGAGAAAGTAGAACGGCTTTCCTACGAACAGCAGAACGATGATGTATGGAATTAGGAAAGCTCCACCTCCGTTCTCGTAAGCGGTGAACGGAAATCTCCAAACGTTCCCGAGGCCCACGGAAGCGGCGATGCAAGCCATTAGAAATTCCAGCCCACCTCCCCATTCTGCCCTCTGAACAAGTTCGAGATGAAAAATAAATTAGCAAAGTTGCATGAAATATGAAAAAATATTATTTCGCCAAATGTTGTTACGATTACAGATAATCGTATTTTTCCCAACACCGACAAATAACTGGAAATTGACAAATAATTCTCTGGCAGCATTGTAATCTTTCTTGACGAAGAAAAAAACAATTCGAGTAAACGTTACTCTAATTAGTTTGAACAGTACGCGACGATAATACACAGTAATCAAGATCGTGAAACTGCACGATCGAGGAAACAGCTTTGTTTAACGACAGGTCTGAATTAGCGAGTACAAATACAGACAGGAAATAAGTTTTCGTGAATGAGAAAAAAAAGTGAAAAGGACGATTATTCGTGAACAACAGAAGTAAGAAATAACTATACAGAGATGTTCTCTGATTCTTCTTGCTGCACGTTTAAATCCTCCTTCGATTTCTCGATATCACCGACGTTGTTTCTTCTTCCGTCAGGATGAACGTTTTCCATCTGGAACGCCTCGTTGGTGTAACCATTTCCTTTCTGCAAACATTCTGTTCGTTAATCTCGATCATCTTTTCTAATCACGTCTATTCTTTAACACAGAAAGTATCGTATCTCACATAGATTCCGTTGTCCAATTTCTCCATGTCTAATTCGGTCTTTCCAAAGAACCTCCTAAATTCTTCCCTTAAAAAATGATCCTCCGAAAGTTTCACTGCGATCTACTTCGATATCTCTCGATCAAGAAAACCACTGTTGTTGCAAAAATCTCGTCACAGATTTCTTCTTCTCTTCATTCTCAACATTCTCGAAGGCGATTAATCAAGCACACTGTCTAAAAGTGTCACAAAACTGGTACGTCATTCTTCGAATAAATCACTTCATTTTCCCTAATTCCATCGAAAGAGAGATTACTTTGAACGCGGGTGAGAAGAGCAACGAAAGCGAAGAAATGAAATTGCACGATTTGTCATTGAGGTGAAGGAGAGGAATCCTCTGGAAACGTTTTTCTTCCAACGAGCTTTAACCAGGAGAAGATGCTTGACCAACGAGCGCCTCGCGCGAAATAAAGCTGTATTTTAGCTCGCGCGCCGATTAGATACGATCGACGTAAGTACACGTTCTCTTTTGTTCTTCGAAATTCATCTGGCCTATGCGCCGTGTTCTATGCACGATACGATGAAGCAGCACGTGTCGCTAATTGCCGGAGATATTCACGTTCGGCTCGTAAACCCGTTGAATTCGCGCACAGATAACGATAATCGTGCGAAACGCGCCGCTAACTCGACGAATTTCCGTCTCCCGACGAATTTCTGAAGAAGAATTCCTTGTTCGAGCAACTGACCGAGTGAAATTCTAAATGCGTAACACCGTTTCGTCGATAAAGTTCATCGATATCGAAGATTCGCGCAGGACAATAAAACCGCGTAATCCAGCGATCATTCCTCGAAAGCCTCCGTCTATGATAAAGAATCGAGTGTTTCTTTCTTTGTCGCGTGAAAGAAAATAGGTCAGAATTGTAAAACCATAAAAATTGCCAATGTTTTTCTTAAAGAGACACTAAAAAAAGAAGAAATTTGACGTTTCAAGGTGGGTTTTTAATTTTTAAGGATTTTCAAGCCTCTCATTTACTACGATTAATTTATTAAAGAAGGTTACTTAGCTGTGTTACGTGTGCGTTAGATTGCAAAACGTTACGAATACCGTAGACAGCAGGAAACGACGCGGATCGACGTGGAAAAGTGCACTCGACGAAGTTGAAAGTGAGAGATTTCACAGGAGAAATATCGAGAGAACGGACGCACGAAACGAGAGCTCGGCGTGACGTCTGCTCCTCTGACATGCGATAAACGTGAATTGACACTGCGAATTAGCGGGAAACTTGGAGATATTTTTCCTCTATCGAAATTTTCCTTGTAGAAGCGGTTATTAGGGCAGCGTTAAATAAAGGGGGGGGCCAAAAAGAACGTTGAATTTCGACACGGTGGCTGCGCTGATCGTAAGAACGGTGTTGATCGGGTAAAATCTCGAGTCACGGTTGTTGCATAGTAAATTGCAAGGTGCATGTGGTACGTTATTTCTCAATCGTGTGTCGATTATAGCTGGTTGTCGAGTAACGCTCAAGGATCACGATCTAGCAATGTTGCACGGTAGAGAAACGAAACTTGGGTGTTTTAATCGCGTTTTTCTAGCGCCACGTAGCTAACGCGTGGATCCTGATCAAAGGATTACGCGTTCCGTAGTGTCGAACGTTTTATCGTGGAGAATTACGGGTAATTTCGTTAATTGGTTGGTTTTTCCAGGGTAGATAATTGTCGAAATAATTGCAATTTCATTAAGCGGTATATTTATTAATCGTTTGACAAAAATTCTAAATGGACGATACGGAGAAACTTTACAGTAGGCGAGCTATCTTTCAGGTAATAAAGTTATTACTGCACGAGAGCAGCAACCGACCTTGCAACCGCATATACACGCTCGTACAATTTGACGAAGATTATTCGTTAGAAAAGGGAACTTTACATACAGAGTGGAGATTATTCGAAACTCGCAACAGCTCGAAAAGTAGAGAAAATAGTACGGAAGAGATAAAGTTTCGCCAAATTATTCGAGGGGGGAAAGTCGACAGGAGTATCGATTTTCGAACAAATGACTACGATTCTTCTATCGCGAAGCTTTTGTCAAATTCTGAGCAGTCGACAGAGCAATGTGAGATTTTTCCGGCAAAAGATGTCCTAACAAATTCCCACCTTACATCTCCAGAGCGATCATAAAGGCGATCGATCCAAGTTCACGATGATCATTCAGTGGCAATCGATGATGGAAAATCTGAGCGACATTTACTATCTCGTGCAGCTGATTATCCGTCAGGTCTCCATCTATCTGCGTGTAAGATTGCATGGTCAACCTTCTTCGTTGTAGAACAATGGAGTTGTTCAGGCTTCGATCATTCCGACAGGAAAATACGCTTAAACCTTCGTCGTACGAGATATAATTCTCCTCCTACTTTTCACAGGACTTGATTATCTACAAATTCTTCTGGCTGGCCACGGGTAACGACGACTTTGATCTATCGGACACAAAGCTTCGTAATTTAACGTTGAGAAACATCACCACCGATATATTCGCCTTTTCTATCATATGCCTGGTGCTTTTTCTTCTGGTAGTCCTCTCGTCCAAGTGTGAGAAGAACGAAAGCCAGATTTACGCGCCTACAGGGATAGAAACGTTAGTTGTAGAATTGTTTCGAAGGAAAAAGGAATTCTACAATGGGTAAATAATTATCGGGGAGGTTCTAGAGTATTTTTCTCTTCCTTCAGAGAAAAGGAACGGATATCGATCACGAAGGTTTACAAATTCTTCGATATAAGACTGCAGTTTCTTCCAAGCTAAACGTTCTTTTTTCTTTATTTTAGAAAATTTTAGAAAACCTGAAAGGATAAGTTTGAATTTTTCTACTTTCCTCGAATTAAAAAAATTCTTTCAATTCACAGACTCACCGTAGATCTACCAGACGATCCTTTCTGTCACTCGAACGCCAGTTCCACAAACTGCTTCCACGCCTGCGGGGATTCCCTCTGTTCACGCGGACGAATTCCGAAGAGGAATTTCTCGGACGAGGATGTCACCAGAGTTCGATCGTCCGGCGAGAAGAGGACAATGAGGATCCCGAAGAAGTCGATCTTCGCTCTGAACTCAATTCAGCCGCAAAATTCTCAAAGTACCCAAACCACACACAAGATATACCATCAAACCACACAGAAATGGTTGATCAGGCGAACGAGAAGCGGTCAGGTTTACGGGAAATACCCTGTATAATAGATGAAAATGTCAATCTATTTAGAAACTACTTGTGTCTTCGTCTCGTTCGTTTTCAAGGACGTAAAAAATCGAAAAAAGATAAAAAAAAATTGTCGCGTTGAAAATTCCCATTGAAGCGCCGGTAGAGAAGCGTTAAAAACGACGAATAAGTCTCGGTTGTTTAACATTCCGTAAAATAAACGTCCGTTTAACGTTATCGATAGCTCGCGGATAATGAATCATTCCGCGTGAATCGACTTCGACGTGAATTTTCAAGCAGACGATCGCGTTAACAGCCGTGTATCAACGATCGATGATTCCTTTTCTTTTCATCTCTCGATTAAAATACCTCGAGCATTTTACTACTTGTTACTCGCGTCTTCTGTTCTTCCCTTTTTATCTCAGCTACACTTACTCGTTATTTGTCTAACGTTTTTACAAGAGCTTTAGAGTGGTTTTATTTTTGATCGACATTTTCACGTCGTTTAAGGGTGTATTTAAGTTTATAACGTGCCTTTCGTATCGGAGGAAATTTGGAGAATTTTTGTACTTCTCGCTACCTTGGTACACGAATTTTCTACTTTTATCGCTTGTGAAATTTTGATTCACGTTCTCGAGATTATATTTTCTTGGTCGTTTTATTTATTATCGGTGTTGTATACAGAGTGTTAATTGTACGTTCTTTCTTTTCTACGAATAAACAACGTATATTGGTAATGTTCTGGTCGATTGATTTTATCGAGGAAAAATTGTTACCTCTCTACGACAGGCGTGTTTTATCGGCTAATAAAGTTATATCGTGTGAACTTATTGCGACTAGGTGTATCGGTGACCGTAAAAAGTAGCATGATTTTATTGCCCCTAGCGTTCCATTCTTGCGAAAGATCAACGGTAGATTCGGTTCGATAATCTTCGGATTAGCGCCAATTCCACGAAGCGAGTAAAGTGGAGTATAAATTATGTGAACGAATTATCACGTCGAACTAATTGAAAGAACGTCGTATTTGTTAGAAAATGACATGTACCACGAGATATCTAACCATAAAATCGTAATTCGAACAAATAATCGAAGGATCAATGATCCACGTGAATTACAGAATGCAATAAAACGACACTCGGCTTTATCGTGATCCGCTAGTTAACTCCTACAGACGTACGCTTTGTGTGAAAATTTTGGAAACACGAAAGGAAGAAACAATATCGACACTTCTCTAATTTAAAGATAAAAAAATTTGAAGAATACGTGAAAACGCGCGTTGGAACGACGATCGCGAGCCTGCGCTCATCGATCCACCGCGAAACCATAGAAACAGAGACCGAAACAATCAGGTTTATTCAGACTCGCTGTTCTCTACCAACAATTGCGTGGAATTGTTCTCCCGAAGAATTATCTAGTGTATAAAAAGAAAAGAAAAAAAAAACGATCTACTATGGACATCAAAGATAGCAGCGACGAGGAGGACACGCACAACATTTCAGCGTTCACGAAATTCGACGAGAGCATCGAGGTACGTAACGCTGAAGAAATAAAGAGTCCAGTGAGCCGTAGACCATCCAGTTCGAAAAGAACGAGGCAACATCCGGTGAACGAGAGTCGAAGTAGCATGGGGATAAATTCACCTCACGAAAAGTTGAATTTTCGAAGGTACGATTGATCGAAACATTTCCCCGACAAATTTTCCATCTAGCAAAAATTGTTCCTAGGTATTCCGATCATGGGAACAGCTTTGGAAAATCTATGGGGTTGAACAGCGATCCATCAGACAGCGAGGAGAGCGACGACGATGATATACAAGGGACTAATAATGCTCCGCTTGTCGAAATTTACAATCCCAAGGATTTCGACGATTTAAACGTGTCTACGGAGGTGAAGGAACTGTTTCAGAACATAATGAGGTGTCTTTGATTCGAAATTTTTATTATTACACAAGGTGTCTCTGAGAGTACAATGTTTTTTATTCTACGTTTTCCTCCTTTTTCTCGCTTATTCGTAGAATTATTCACTATTACTAAATTTATATTTACGGGACACTCTGTGTGATGTAGAAATTTTCAATTGACAATTTAGTTTAATTTGAAGTGACTTGATCCTTGGACAGGTACACTCCACAGAAGATAGAGCTGAACTACAAGCTGATACCGTTTATCCCCGACTATATTCCAGCAGTGGGCGACATAGACGCCTTCATAAAGGTTCCGCGACCGGATGGTGTGGAGGAGAAAATTGGTTTGACAGTTCTGGACGAACCTTGCACCAATCAATCTGACCCAGCAGTGCTTCATTTGCAGCTACGTAGCCACTTGAGAAGCGCAGGTGCAGCGAGGCAAACGGTGATCAAGAGGATCGAGGACGCTGAGAAAAATGGGAAATCGATCGACAAGTGGATCGAAGATATAAATCAGCTTCACAGGAGCAAACATTCGCTCGCCGTTAACCTAACTAAACCGATGCCGGACATCGACTCGTTGTTGCAACAATGGCCACCTGAGGTCGAAGAGAAATTAAACGAAGTTGAATTGGACTTTACAGAATTGGATTGTACGTTACCAGAGCTTGTAGATCTGGTTTCCAATCTTTTAGACATTCCTTCGGAGGAGAATAGCAGATTAGAAGCACTTCACACGCTTTTTACGTTGTATCTGGAAGTACGAAATCTCAGGGCTCAGAAATATTGAGAGTAGAATTTTTTAGGTTAGTCAGGATCGATGATGAATTTTTGGTAATCTTTTTTTATAACGATTGTATATAGATTAAAAAGTATATTTTAGTAGGAAACGTATCTTTAACAGTAAGTTAGTATAAGATGAAATGAGAAATATATTTTTTCGTAACCTAATTGTCGTACGAGACGAACGATAAAAAATGTCGACGACGTAAATACGCGTTGCTATTTCAGATAGCGTAATCAGGGACCAGCAAAGTTCAGAGTCTCGTTAATTGAGGCATAACCTTGCGCAGCAAGTAATAATTCGATTAGAATTATTATCAGTATGAATTATATAATATTAAACTGGAATGTTTGTAAAATGACACATTGAAAAAAAATAAAAATTTATCTGAATTCCTTGTCGGTCAATTTAATATCAGAAATTTGTAACATTTTCCTTTACTTCTACTTGTATATTCGTAATTTTTGTATTTTTAAAAATGAACTCCATTTCTTTTTTTTCTTTTTTTTTTTGTAGTTTTGTTTTTAAAAATTCCGATGACATGACAGATGTCCAAACTTTCATGATAAGTAGGGCTGGTGAATCATCGTTATCAGAACGATACTTCCGGAATTGCGTGAACTCAATATTTCCAATCCTCTTTGTTCTTGTCAATTTTTGTTTTAAATTGAAAAAAGTGAATGGAGAAAAAATGTAATAAAATTGTACGCGTGGAACATGTCTTAACGATAGAAAATGGACGAAAAGAGAAATTTGATTGATCAGTCAAAACGAATGAAGGGGACAATGCAGCTGTTGAGCGCCGCTCTCTTTCACTGAATCATACTATTAATCACGTGATTACTAATGTAAAGTACATGTTTCTTTTCTTTGTATGCGTACAGTACCCGGTGAGAGCTAGCTATGACGAAGTAGATTCTGCGCTTCAGCGATGAACTGACGCTTAGTATTTAATAGATAAAATCTGATACAGGTGGTAGTGATCAAAAAATGACGGACACATCTACACACATAAACGTAATAATAAACAGCAGCATCGATGACAGTGTTGACAGTTGTGTTAACGATGAAGACGACAAGGAACGTTTATTGAAACCAAGAAACAATTTTGCGTCATACTCCAATGAAGATGTTAAAGTTAGATTTCGGGTATGATAACAATGATGATTCGACGACAATGTGCATGACACTAAACATTTTTTCTTACCTTTGTTTTGACAAAATCGCATAACCTAATTGACATCTTTTCACATTTGTCTTATGTCATAGTGTCAAGTACAAAGTTTCTTCTACATATGTTATACAAGTGTTATACCAAATTAGACTCTCATACCTTTTTCTAATATTTTACTTTTGCTTTTTCAATAGAATGTTACCTCCAACCATGATATTGTGTCATCGCAGAATATTATGGAAACACTTACTAATAACCAAGGGAGGCTTAATACTGAAGAAATAACCCCTGGTGCTACTAATTTCCTATCAACTAATTATGAGGTAGTTTTTGCTTTATTTATAAATATGTTACTTCACTCTTTTATAGCATAATTTTCTTATTGCTACTTGATTAAATTTATCTTCACTTTTGGTGAATTTTATGAATTACATTAATTATTATAAGTATCTTATCTTATCCTGAAACTAATTATGTATTCGAAGAAATATCATATATAAGACATATCTGCATTTTTTTTTTTCTTTAGAGTTTAGATTATGATCCCTGCGAGAATCACCTTTTTCAAGATGAAGAAAGAAGCAAAGGGTATAAGTTTGTAGTTAAGAAGAACTTTGCTAGATGGTTTATTTTTTTATTGATAGGCATTTGCACAGCACTTATAGCTTCTTTTGTAAATATAACTATAGAAATATTAACAAATTACAAATATGGTTACCTCAAATTTTGTATCCTTTTGTATTGTTTTTTAAACATGAGAAAAGGAATAGATATAAATTTACTTGCTGTTCCTTACAATTAATAATAGATATGGATCAGTGTGTGACAGAAAATTGTTTATTTATTCCATATTTATTATGGTTAGTCTTAAATTTTCTGCCTGTTTTAATAGGAGCTATTTTAGTATCTTATGTGGAACCTGTTGCAGCAGGTAGTGGTATACCACAAGTGAAATGTTACTTGAATGGAATTAAAGTACCTAGAGTTGTTCGCATTAAAACATTAGCAGTAAAAATAATAGGGGTAATTTGTACAGTAGTGGGAGGTCTAGCTGGTGGAAAAGTAAATATCCTTTATCCTGTTACTCTCTTTATTAATACTTACTATTGGTATAAAGTGTTTCAAAATAGAATGAAACAATTGTAGGAAGGACCTATGATACATTCCGGAGCTGTGGTAGCTGCAGGAATATCACAAGGAAAAAGCACTACATTTAGGAAAGATTTAAAGATATTTCAATATTTTAGAGAAGACCATGAGAAAAGAGATTTTGTATCAGGAGGTGCAGCTTGTGGTGTATCTGCTGCATTTGGTGCACCAATTGGTAAGTAATAAAATGAATAATATGCATAGAATAAATACTAATCAATTGATTAAAAATTATTTAGGTGGAGTATTATTCAGTATTGAAGAAGGAACTAGCTTTTTTAATCAGAGCCTCACATGGAGAACATTTTTTGCTAGTATGATTACAACGTTTACACTAAATATTATTCTTAGTACATATCATGAACATCCCGGTGATCTTTCTTATCCAGGCTTGCTAAACCTTGGAAAATTTATGAGCATGCCTTATCAGATTTACGAAATCCCTCTGTTCATGATAATGGGAACAATTGGCGGAATTCTAGGTGCTCTTTGGAATTATATAAATTATAAAATGACCTGCTTTCGTTTACGATACGTAAAAAAGAAATGGTTGAAAGTAATAGAGGCTCTCTTTGTTGCTGCACTAAGTGCATCAATGGGGTTTGCAATGATTTATTTCGTGAGTGATTGCAAACCATTAGGAAAAGATCCCACCAAGTTTCCTATTCAGATGTATTGTGCAGAAGGCCAATACAGTGCAGTGGCAACTTTATGGTTTCAAACTCCCGAAAGTAGTGTACGATCTTTGTTTCATGATTCCAAAGGTATGTTTCTAATATCTATGACAACTAATATAGGATTTATTCAATAAGTCTTTTATTTGTAGATTCCCATAATAACATAACTTTAGCTATTTTTGTTATCCTCTACTTTTTATTGGCTGCTGCTACCTTTGGTCTATCTATGTCTAGTGGACTTTTCATTCCATCCCTCCTAATTGGTTCTGCATGGGGTAGACTAATTGGATCAGGCCTTGCAAAAACCTTTCCAAATTGTGTAAGAAAAAATTATGAAAGTAAGATGAAGTTATTATACCAAATTACAAACTATTGTAAATTATTACAGGCCGTTTTAGACCCTGGAAAGTATGCTTTATTAGGCGCAGCTGCTCAATTGGGAGGAGTAGTTAGAATGACCATAAGTTTAACTGCTATACTTATAGAAGCCACTCAAGGAATATCCTTTGGTTTACCAGTTATAATAGTTCTTGTTATGGCTAAATGGGTTGGAGACTTTTTCAATGAGGCATGCAAATATATCAGTTTATGTTTTGAATTTTAAAAACTTTTGTAGATTATCCAAATAATTTTTATTATCACTTATTCTATAGGGAATTTATGATATTCATACGCAAATGGCCGGAATTCCTTTATTACCATGGGAAGCCCCACCATTAACGAACAATATATATGCCAGTGAGATAATGAGCCATCCAGTAGTAACGTTACAAACTGTAGAAAATGTAGGACATATAGTAGAACTTCTTAAATGCGTAACATTTAACGGTTTTCCTGTAGTTGACCCTCCTAGCAGCGACCAGGTAACAAACACTACAATTATATTTAACATGTAAAACTTCTGATCACTTTGTTGCATCTACCGCTATTTTTTATTGTAGAATGAAATACCATGTTATAGACGATTCCGAGGATTAATTATACGTTCGCAATTAATAGTGTTATTGCAAAATAAAATATTCAACGAATATTCTGAATATTGGGATAAATCCTTAAACATAAAAATGTTCAGAAAAGAATATCCTAGATATCCAACAATCGACCAAGTGACTGTAACTGAAGAAGAAAAAACTTATACTATGGATTTAAGACCTTTCATGAACCCTTCTCCCTATACATTACAGCATGTTAGTATTACCTTGCCAAATGAACTATAAATTGTGAATTGAAAGAAACGATTGGTACCAATATCTTTTATTTTAGTGTGCAACACTGCCACGAGTATTTCGGCTCTTCAGAGCTCTAGGTCTTCGACATTTGCCAATAGTTAACGATACGAATGAGGTAATAGAGCTTTTTAGAAAATTTTATGATGTAGAAAATATTATAATTCTACCTTCTTTCTAGGTGATTGGAATTATTACGAGAAAAGATGTAGCCAGATTTAGGATATGGAAACATAGAGGAAGAATGGGACTAGATGAACTTCTTATTACTGACAAAGTTTAATTACAATTTCTTTATATAAAAAACTTGGTATTAATTTATGAAACAATTTTTGATGATATATTGCTTTTTATATACATACAAAGAAGATTTTTATCTGTTTATTTTTACCTTTTAGCAAAGTAAATCAAAGTATTATAAAATGAAGGGAGATGAAATCATCCAAACACAAGGTAGTTACACATAACACTAGTTATTTATAAATAATTGCCAACTACTCATATGATGGAACATACATGTTAAAAATTAGAATGGATATCCCTTCTTGTGAACACCTTTATAATTGTAATTCATGTAACATAATGTTCAAAACCTTCATGTACAACCTGAAATATGAAAAAATATTTTGTAGAAATTAATACAGTATTTATTTATATATAATTAAATTATATTTTATATAAACCTGATATATATATTTCAATACAATTCTCATTTACACTGCAAGATATTGATGAAATGTAAGTATTTCAAGCAAATTTCTTAACATAATAATATTTAATATGGTTTTCAACAATTACTAAATGATATTATAACTAAACGTTCGTAAAACGCAATTCCCGCATGAACAGCATTACACCTATAAATATTAAAGCATAACAAATACCGCCAATTAATTGCAAGTTCCTATTTTGGGAGTGAATCACCTTGAGATAATAATACATGCAAAGCAGACTAGAACTCTCTCTTTCTAATCTCCAATAAACCGAGTCTTTCGGGTTTTTTCGCGAAATTAGCAGTAAAAAGAACTGATAAGTCGTGTCTTACGTGCAGTTATGACGATCTTTTGTGTCTCATTAGTGTTCGTAATAATTGCAAGTACTTCTGACTGATGAACGTGTAAAAAACATCAAAACTTAATGCAGACGTTAATGTAGTAAAGTCAACGTGAAATATTTTCCATCGAAATACACGTGATTCGAAAATTTAATAATACTACAACGATTCGCCATTGTTATGATTGGTTTCCGAATCATATGCACCGACGCATGCGTGTACATCCATCAAAAGAAGAGGTGAATTCAAATAATTTTTTTAACAACTTTTTATAAAACATATATATAATTTTTATGAAAATATTGTGAAATTGGAACAACGTATCTTAATGAAAAAATGAACAATTACAAGTGGAACAGAGGCAAGTATGCCTTAAAAACGAATAAACAATTTAGTTCAATTAATGAAAGGAGGAAAAATGCACATAGACCTGTAACAAAACTTCATGAGACAGAAGAAGAAGCTATAATTCGAAGATTTCACGATGCACAAAGAATGGCAAGATTCAGAGCTAGAAGAAAGAAAGCTTTAGGAGAAACAAAGCAAATATTTCAGAAATATTACATTTAAAACTGTTAACTCTGCCTGTGTAACAAATACTAAACAGCTTCAATATTCCCCTATACAATATCCATCAATTATTGTACATTCAGCATATGGATAAAATAAATACTCTCAATTATTGACAATCATAGAGCAATGAGAAAAGGATATTAAATTAACATATGCTGGTAGTAGAATTTCTAGGATGCTGATAAAAGAATGCTTGATGGAGACCGAAATAAATTTATAACACAAATTAGTAATTAGTAATTCAATCTAACTTCTCTTTATAATATCATTAAAGCATAAATAAAAAGAGAAGATAAAATTTTCTGCTCAATTAGAATAAAATAATTTCTCTATATGCAAAATAAATTATTTCACTAATTTTCCTACGAACTTCACACATTTGTCGTTCGAAATATAGTACAAAATTTCGAAACGAATTGTTTCGTAAAATTATCAGTATTATTACGAATTATCACCGATAAAGTGTTTTCGTTATTCAAAAGTTCATCGAATATGCATTTTCTGTACAAGCTCACTGTTAGTCTCACCTTGCTGTTTGAAAGAACCGAAGAAATCACGTCAAAATTTTCTCATTCCTTGAAGGAACTATTCTTTCAAAGTACGGAGAAGATTTGCTGTACGCGAGTATTTTCAAGAAAACGATCATTTTATCGACGAGAAAGAAGAGTAAAATCACCATTAACTGACACGATAAGACGGTCGAAACATTTCATGCATCTTTGCGGTTCTTTGACAATGTCGTGTATTTTAAGACGCGGTCGGTTCGGTCAATTGTTTTGCGGTCTCTCAGGTCGTACACCTGTCCGTCGTGAAGTTGCAGACGGGAGTAGGAAGGGGTTATGGTCAATAAACGCAACCACGTCACACGCAGCCTATCGGCGACCCCGCTTGGCCCCTTAAAGTGGCTCCGAACGAAAATCTTACATGTCGGCCGATATTGCTTTTGTGCGTTTGTCTGCAGGATATCTTAAGAAAAAGCAAAGTAATTTTTGTACAAACGACATTGGTGGATGTGTTTCGCCGTGAAGAAGATACGGATATAAAATGGGATCAGTCTACGACGCGGTTTAGTTTTACGACGGGTTAATCGTGCGTTTCAGTGAACTGACCGAATTGCGTCCGCCATTGTTGTGATTGGTGAACGTTCCAGAGAAGACGGCGTTCTTAGATTGGCACGCATGCGCGTTGCGTGCTACTTAGCAACACGGCACAGGTAGCCGACACGCACACGCACGCATACACACACGTATTTCGAAAACAGTATTCGCCGCTCGATTTTTGCGCACGTGCTATGGAATTTTTTTGAGCTTGATGTACCCGCGTCTTTTTAGACATCGGAACATCGAATTAATTATCGCGTTTCTTGCTTTCTACCGTGAAGAAAGTGGTTACGGTGTTTCTCAAGGAGATCGTCAGGTTGATGTCCTTTCGTTCTGAGTGCAAATAAATTTTTAATCGCCGTTATCGATAAACTTGTTTAATGAGAGTTTGCGTTAAACGATAGCCGCAACTATTCTAAAATTTACTCGTGCCTAAGCAAAACAAACGATGACAATACTTGTTACATTTCAAAATATGTAAATGAACTTCTTTTAGCTCTTTTAAAAACCTGTAATCAGAAAGGTTCTTACCAATTTAATGGTTTTGTGTTACAGGTAATTTTTACAGTACAGAAGTAATATAAAAAGTGCTTTATATACATATGAAGGAATATGTAAGGACAAATAGTGAATACCAAAAAGGAAATAATAAAATTAGCTACATTTAACCAATAACGCATGCACAAAGTACATTTTGTGAAAAATTTGGTATTTAAAATTTACAAAAATGACACTCTATATAGATGATTGTATCTATGCTATGCATAATTGCATGTTATGCCTAAGGCTAAGAAGAAATCTTACCTTAAAAAGGTAAGGGAAATGAGAGAGTATAGACGACAAAAATTAAGGTCAGAAACTATAGAAGAACGCGCTATTAGATTATATTCTGCTGCTGAAAGAATGAAGAACGCTAGAGCAAAAGAGACAGAAGAGCAAGCAGCATTAAGGAGAATGCAGGAGGCACAGCGTATGGCTAGGCATCGTGCTAAAAAGAAGCGTTGCTTAGATGAAAATTTAGCAAGGGAGATTTCAAAAATTGCTGAACTCTCAAAAATGCCAGATGCAGCAACAATAGCACAAATGTCAGAAATGAATATGAATAAAATTTCTGCAGAGCTAAAGCAAATGATGGAAAGGGGAAAAGTACCAGAACATATAGTTCAAATGGCTCAACTTGCTGAGTTCAGTAAAATGACTGAATTAAATAAAATGTCTCAGGATATGGCTAAAAGATATGAGATGGAAAAAATGGCCGAATATGCAAAGACAACAGAATACATGAAGATGCAAGAAATTGCAAAAATGTCTGAAATTGCCAAAATGAATGAAATGGTAAAACTCTCTGAAATGGCTAAATATAATGATATTACAAAAATTAATGAAATTGCGAAAATGAATGAAATGATGAAAATGTCTCAAATGGCAAAAATTAATGAAGTTCAAAGGATGAATGAAATAGCCAAACTTAATGAAATGGTAAAAATGACAGAAATGGCTAAATATAATAATGATATAACGAAATTAAACGAAATTGCACAAATTAATGAGATGGCTAAGGAAATTGCAAAGATGAATGAAAAAACAAAAATGAATGAAATGATTAAAATGGCAAATATGCAGAATGATATTACAAAGATGCCTGAATATTCTAAAATGGCAGAAATGGCTAAACTAACTGAGTTGGCTAAATTAAACGAAATAACAATAACAAAATTAAATGACCCACCACCACCAAAAGTACCAGAAATTCCACGAATTCCTGAACCTGTGATCACTGTGCCAAATCCAAGAAATTTGCAAAATGTTCAAACTGTTCAAGTAGCACAGGCTAGCCCATCCAGTACAATAAATTTCCCTACTGTACCTGGTCAAGGTAAATATGCTCAGTTACTTGTTATTATTGAGGAACTTGGAAGAGATATTCGTCTTTCGTATGCCGGAAGCCGCAGCGCAGCTGAGCGTCTTAAGATGGGCATTCAGCATGCTAGAATTCTTGTACGAGAATGTCTACTGGAAACAGAACATAATGCGCGGCAATGATTTGCCGATATACTTAGCAATTAGATTTTTAGTCGATTATTTTACAAAATAATGCTATGTACATTGTATGGAGTACAGCAGTATATTTTAAAGGGAGTGTCTTAGCATCCACAAAAATGTGCATGTAACATCTATTATTTTATATTTTATACGATTGTACCCATTTGTAAGGTTTTGTAATGAATATAAGTGTAAGCAACTGGTTTTCTTAAGCAATGAAAAAGTTGGGAAAGTAATAGATTTATGACTTAATATTTTCAGTAACAATTGAAATAACATATGCACTTTTGTGGATGCCTAAAGAAAATTAATCATTCAATAGTGCATAATATTGAGTATAAATTAAATGAAAGAAAAAGAATTAATTTCTTCATTTAATTTTTTTTTGTTTTTACTAGGGAGGATGTAAAGACCATCATCTTCTGTGCATAGATTCAAATTATGAAGGAGTTATTCCGTCGTTTTAAGTTCTCATTTAGCGAATAGGAAAGATAATATTAGGCAGGGACGATTTGTACACTAAAGAGTCTTCATTTATATTTTCTAAGGAACCGTGTATTGCATTTTTTGGTTAAAACTATAGGTATCTAGTAATTACCTACAGTATACTTGCAGGAAAAAATTGATCAAACAGAATGTACCTATGGAAAGTATAATCCTTGAATATAACTGATTACAAGGTATATCGAAATAAAAAGAAAAACAATTTTGTACAATATTGTGTATTGATTTTATACCCTTAAATCATATACGCGTTCAATTTGAAGTTAGCGCCACATGTTACATAATATACTGCCTTCTTTTCCGTAAAGCACTGTAGGTATACACATTGTATACAAGTGCTAACGGCGGAGGAGATAGTTTACGATACTTTACGGATTTGTAGAAATTTACGCTTAATTTTTGTTTGCACTTATTTATTTATTGCGTGAAGTATATATTCGTGTTTCACTAGCGTTTTGGTAAAGGTGAGTTTCACATAATGTGAAATAGAATTCAATATTTGATTCGAGGTTATATTTGCGCTTTCCTTAGCTTTCATTTTTAGTGATCGAAATCCTTTCGCATGTTCTTTTTCAGCTTTAAAACTTATATTTTCATATGAATTGTATTTGTGTATCATCTGAAATTTATTCTTTTCTGAGGTGAAATTGACATATTGATTGAATTGTAGCAATTGTCTCGTGATATTCAATTCGTTATAATTTAGATTCTCTTCATGAATTATTTGTTAGGGTATTTATTTAAAAAAAAAAAACAGTTAGAAGATGGAAGAAGAACGAGGAAATGTAGAAGTTTCAACAAAGATCACAGAGCCATTACTCAGTGTACCAAATCCAAGAGCCCTCCAACAAAGTGTTCCTTCCGTACCTGGCCAATCAAAATATGTACAGCTGCTTAATGTCATAGAAGAACTTGGTCATGAGGTGCGACCTACCTATGCTGGCAGTCGTACTTCTATAGAAAAAATTAAGCGTGGTATTGTACATGCACGTATTCTAGTTAGAGAATGTTTGATTGAAACTGAAAAAAGTGCTCGTCAGTAACATACAAATTTTAAATGATTTTACACATATTAATAGTCTGTAACTGACCAAGGGTTCTAAAAGTACTTAGCTATAATGATAAACTCACAAAGACTTCTATTTTTGCCAAAAAGAGACTGCATTTGTATACTAAAGAATGAAAGAATTAGCATGACAAATTATCTACCTCAAACTTTGATCACATGAAATTCAAATTTTTTGAAACATTTTTTAAAAATTTACTAAGA